CAATATTTACACTTAAACAGCAGCTGGTACTGAAATGGACTATGGAATTCTAGAAATTGCAAAGAGTCAATTCTAATCCAACAACTTCTTGGTGGTTCTCCATTTACATTATTTTACCCACATTGATGTGTGGTCTACCCACAACCTATAATAACATATGCATACAACATTATATATTATTTTCAAATAATAAATTTATTTAATAAATTTAGTGTTGTTATAGCAAGTAATATAGTTGACATCTTCACAGGAGAGAGGACGTTGACTTCAACTCAGATGGATCTTCTCTCCATCACTGACGGTATATTTGTATATCATACATGCAGCCATCTTTGAAAGATCTGCAAAAAAAAAAATCAATAATAATGATACCAAACTGGTAATTAAACATTGCAAAAATGGGTTTGTAGAAGACAAAATATTCAGATTTATTATTTTAACAAGTTTATTATGACAATACCACAAAGTATGCACGAAGTACAGTGAGTACAGCGAGAGTATCGACCAAGTACTGTCTGAGTGTAAACTTTGCGATACCCTCAAACTAACCTTATTATTATACATGTTTTCCTCCCAATGATACATCATGTTTTTTTTTGTGAATGAAATGTGCAAGTGAAACTTTAAATAAAGTACCCTGGGAGCTACCATGTTTGTTTTTATTATTAGACTATGCTTATGCGTGTAATTTGGAATTCGCATTTCTTAATATGGTAACACCACAAAAGTATGGCACATGGTAAATTATGGCATTACGTTGACAGATGCATAATTATTTTTATGCAACTGTCACTGTAACGTAATTTTTTGGCATTTTATGGGGCATTTTCATCCTACCATATAAGGAAATGTTAATTCCAAATATGGAATGATTACGTGCATAATCTAGGAATAATAAAAACAAACATGGCTGACACCAGGGTTTGACCAGACTCCACACAAAGAAGTTCGCTGATTCTGTTCTGAACTTTTTAGATTTTGACATTCCCATGATGTATCCTTAGAAGGAAAAGATGTACAATAATGAGGTTATTACAAGGATACATCTAAGCATGCACTCAGTACGCCATCGCATCCACCTCTCCTGTGCGTTGGTCGCTACTTCCAGTGTACTGTCTTTGTGCATACTTTGAGGTATGCTCGTAATAACCTCATATTATTATTACATGTATCATTATCATGTTTACTTGATTTGAGTTGATCATTAACCCACAATCACTAAGAACAGTATACAGTTAAGTTAAGTATTCAACTTCAGAGCAGATATAAGAATCAAATGGCTTATTATAATGTTATATTCAAACTTATTAGTGATACCAATATTTACCCCCTAGAGTGTTCTCCTTTGACTCCATATCAAGCACCACAGCTAATTTGCATAACATATCTAATTTGCATAATTGTATTTGCATAATAATTTGTTGCCCCAACAACATTGTGATACAATAACTGTTGTTCTTATAAAAACAAGTCATTGAAAATGACACAGTCCCCGTTAAATTTTTGAAAGTTCTCTTTGTGCTCGTCATATTAAAGCAAAGGGGTTGTCTTGAGCATGTCCTTGAAACTTGAGTTCCAAGTGGCGTATACAACAGATTGTTTATTTACATCAAAATATGTGTTCGGTGTAGTAGTAATATGGCCAAAAATAAAAACAGCCGTTATTCGACCATCTTTGATCTGATTACTAAACACACTGATATGTATGATGTATGTGCCAAATACAAATAAAAATGGTACATAAATTGTGGAAATATAGTAGTGCCGTTAAAATCCTATTATAAACCGCATACCTAATAGTAACCGCACCCCCGATTTCGGCTTCAGTGTTAAAGAGTTCTCAACAAAAAATGAAAACATGAAAAGTACCTATTACTAACCGCACCCCCAATTCAACAAGACCGTGACCGACTTTGTTTCAACGAGCTGGTACATTGTTCCTAATCCTATTCATTTGTCTCGAC